TTCTACTTGAGCTTTTATTGATAATAAGAGAGATTTCCATCATTACTCTCTTTTGAAATACATTGGGTCTCTGAAATGGAAAAATCAGCCTTAATAATGAACAGCATAGTGATATATCCAAACAGAGACTGAGTGGGTGCAGCTAAACCAATAGTCATGATAAATGCATATAATTCTGTGACAAGGTGTGTGATATATTCAGTTGAATGGGCTGAAAGAGAAGTGTGTTTTGAATTGATTATCTCCATTATATCGTATGCTTAAACCAAAGCAATCATGCAGAAAAAGGATATTAAGCATAATTGCTGTTGTGTAATGAATTGCTGTAAATCGACTGATACTGGAGAATAAAACCCACATACACATTGCTGAAATTAGAATAAGACAAAAAAAAAAATGAAATAAAATAAACAATAACTTCAATATCTATCTTAGTTATATCTATAACATTTATACAACATTTTATTTCAGCTAGTTGCTAACATTTCTCAATTTAGTTTAACTTGATGTACTAAAATAACTGAAACTAAAACTGAAATAAAAATTAATAAACTCTCTCTTTAATAAAAACTATCAATAGTATCTCAATCTACTATAATAACTATAAGAATTTGAGTCAAGGTCCAGTTATAGAAATGCAGTAGATTTTTTTTATGTTGGTTTCAAAAATATTTATTTGTTTGTTTTTGTTTATTAATTCATTCATTCATTCATTCATTCATTTAAAAATAAAATTGTATAGTTATTTTTGTAGTTTTACAGTTGTTGGATGACTGAAAAGCCATTAAATAGACTATAATACATCATAATAATACCATTTTAACATGTTGAGAAATGTCCGTTTTCTGTAATTTTTTTAAACTTTAATATATCATAGAAATCATCTTCTTAAATCTCAATAAACTGCATGTTCCCACTCTGACAACTTATTGTACATAAGTGTTTTTTTGTTTTTGTAGACGATACTATTGTCTTGATTACAAAAAAAGTTTTTGCATATAAAAATAGGCTTTCAAAAACAAACCTACCTTTGGCTATTAGTTTAGTCTTTCCCTTTTGTTAAAATGGTCTCAGACTCACTGAGTGCTATTTATTGTGGTGCATAATCCTATGTACAATTATATTGGACTTCACTTCTTCATGATATTGTCTATAATATATGCCTCTCTTTATTCAAGAACATGGAGGACATCTGTAATACCCCCTCAGTAGTTTCACAAACCATTTCTCTCTTGGAATGGGGAATTATCGATATGTTAATTCTTCTGAAAAGATTAGCACGGGCCCATAGTTCTAAGTCCAATTGCATTATTAATAGAACAGAATAATGTGCATTTTCTCTAAAGAGACGTGTTTTCCTAATGGTTGTATAATTTGCCTGATATCGAGACATATTATTTATTAGTCTGGTTTCCCGTTGTGTTTGCTGTGTCTTGCCTCATTGCACTGTATTAGATGGTAGATTGCTAATAGTTGAGAAGAGTCCTGAGAGAGGAGACTGCAATGCTACCTACAAACTAGGGTCGATAATCAGCCTCTTTGTCTACTGACTGGTTAAATTGATTTTCTGAGGGAAAACAGCTTGTGTGTGAAATACTCTTGTGCACACACACACACACACACACTTGCATTTGTGGTTTACAAGGACTCTCCATAGGCGTAATGGTTTTTATACTATACAAACTGTATTTTCTATCGCCCTACACCAACCCTACACCTAAACCTACCCCTTACAGAAAACTACTGGCAATTTTTTAATTTCATAAAGCACCGTTTTGTATGTTTTTTAAGCCTTTTGTTTTACAGGGACACAGGAAATGTCCTCATAAACCATATTTATGTTGTAGTACCCATGTTATTATACACATTTGTGTCCTCATAAACAATATATACCAGTACACACACACACACACACAGCTCCAGGATGAAACCAGCAGAGCCACATGTGGGGCTAAAACTGTTACAAGAATGCTTTTGAGTTCCTTGTTATACATTCTTCAGGCCTAATGACTGAAGAGATGTTTTTTTTTTTATTGTTTTAAACAGTTTATTTAAAAAAGGGTCTTTTATGTGATAATA